AACACCTTAAAGTATTAAAGTTTTGATTTCATTACTAATTCGTTCGGACNTGGGAGGCGGAAAGGGTAGATCCACAATACCCATGAAGATTTGTTGTGATTTGTTGTGATTTGAGAGGTTTTTTAGCAATTTTTCAACCTCGGCTACTGTTCGAGACCCTCTGGTTCAGTGTAAGACTCTACTACTACTGTTGAGGCTCTGATGCTACTGGTTCCTGTGAGGCTTTGGTGGTACTGTTTTGGCAAGTGTTAGTGGAAATTTTGTCTTTTTGGCCCATTAGGATTATCGGCAACACTGTTCAGACCTATAGGGCTTCTGTTTTTTGCCTCTAATTTCTCCTTAGCTACTGTTTAAATGCTACAAAGAATCAAAATTTTATTTTGGTGTATTATTTCAGTCACCTAAGAAACAGAAACGTTTTGACCCATTTCGAAAGCAAAATGAAAATGAATAAAAAAATTAATAATTATTTTTCTAAACTATTGGTCAAAATATACCAAAGCATCTTGAAAAGCCTTGAAACATTCTGAACAATTGTGTAACTGCGTCGAAACACCTCGAAATATTATGAAACACTTTAAAATATTAAAATTTTGATTTCATCACTGATTCATTTCGAACTCCTTGAAAACAGAAACATTTTGGTTGTTTTGACTATAAAATTTTATTTCAATGCATTGTTTCGGTCACCTAGAAAACAGAAACATTTTGACCCATTTCGAAAACAAAATGAAAATAAATAAAAAAATTAAAAATTATTTTTCTAAATTATTTTTCTAAATATACCAAAATATCTTGAAATGTCTTGAAACATTCTGAACAATTGTGTAAATGCGTCAAAATACCTCAAAATATTATGAAACACCTTAAAGTATTAAAGTTTTGATTTCATTACTAATTCGTTCGGACTCCTTGAAAACGGAAACATTTCGATTATGTTATACCCAAACTTTTTTGCTGTGATTTCATGCTGGTACTTGTGTTATGCAATAACCTATTATTTGGACATGTCGAACGCGACTACTAGGAGAAGAATAGGCATATTAGAAAGTTTTGTTAGAAGCTGACGGAATCACCCACACGTGACCGAGGTGATGGTCGAGGTGGTACTATGCAATCCAATGCACACATGACTGAATCTTTAGAGCATCCATCTCAGTCTAGTCTGATGGCAGTGCTTCCACTTCTTTTTTTCAAGATGACATACAAACTCTTAGACATTTGATAGCTCACCTTGATGTTTCCTCTAATCATGGTTCTTCCACCATAGTGACTAATCATGCTTCTACTTCTTCCAACTTTGCTCAAACAGGTATATTTACAAGTGCATTTAGTGTTTCATCCTATACACTCCATGGATAATCAACTCTGGAGCCACAGACCACATGATAGGTTCCTCTAGTGTTTTCTCTTCATATTCTACATGTTCCGGTAGGTATAGGGTAAGAATGACAGATGGGTCTTTATCCTCTATTTTAGAAAAATGTTCAATTAATTACACTTCAACATTACCCCTTTCATTCGTTCTTCATGTAATTTTTCGACTAATTTATCATCTGTTAGCAAAATTACAAATTCCTAGAATTGTTCAATGACCTTTTACCCTACTCATTGTGTCTTTTAGGAGCTNCTTACCCCTTTCATTCGTTCTTCATGTAATTTTTCGACTAATTTATCATCTGTTAGCAAAATTATAAATTCCTAGAATTGTTCAATGACCTTTTACCCTACTCATTGTGTCTTTTAGGAGCTGGAGTAGGGAAAACTACTGACACTAGTGGAGCACATGGTAGTCTATACCTTTTAGATACCGAAGCTTCTTCTCATTCTACTAATCAAGCACATCAAGCAAATGGTGTTTTGACAATTCAACTCTTACATTAATAGCATAGATGTTTGGGGCATTATAAATGTTCATTTTATCTTAGTATTAATAATAAAAGAACTTCTCCCTTTGTCATTATTCACCCTAATGTGTGAGGACCTTCCCATGGTGTGTGTATTTCTGATTGTCATTAGTTTGTTACTTTTATTGATTGTTATTCTCATCTTACTTAGGTTTACTTACTCCGTACTAAAAGTAAAGTTTTCATGAGTACCCGATTTGATGCTAAAATCAAAATCATTCGGAGTAATAATGGGACTAAGTACATAGATGGGGAATTTCGTTCCTATCTTAATGAGAACAACATTGTTTATCAAACCTCTTGTGTGAGTAACCCTGAACTGTTGAGCGAAAAAACTAGAGTAACCCTGAACTGTTGAGCGAAAAAACTATCTTCTCGAGACGTTGATATTCACCATGAATGTTCCTAAATCTTTTTGGGGATATGTTATCCTTGCTACTAATTATCTTATTAATCATCTTTCCTCGTCGATCCTTCAATTTAAATCACCTATTGAGTGTCTTTTTAGGGAGTGTAGGATTCTAATTCACAAAAGGTTCCAATTCGTCCTTACTATCTTCTTTTGTTGGTGTTGGGTTGGCTCATTTGCTTATGATGTACTTGGGCACTCTCAAACACACCGAAATACAGAGAGAAAAGCAACAATTTGAGGGGAAAGAGCCATAGGCTCAAAAGATCCTACCAAAAATGAAGAGCCTAGGCATGAAAATCATTGCAAAAAAAACCCTAAATGACAACCCAAACACTGAATGCAACACCAAAAAATAGCCAAAAACAAACTACAAGATCACTTTTTCCCTTTTATCTCTACAAATCTTTCTTGAACACCTCCAGGTAACACCTTGTGCATTAATTTGGAGGTCTCTTGTCCAATCTCATGGGGCCTCCAGCTGGTTAACAGATTTTGACATCAACAGTTCCAAGCCTCATTTATTCGTGCACCCTTTGGGTCAACTTTCTCTCCACGGTTAGCGGGTGCCTAACAATATACTTATCAGCCATGCACCTTAGCAAATTGAGAACGTGAATTCATGCATGCATCTACTTCTACTCACGAAGCAAACCGTTTCATACCTAGAATAAACTCAACCCCAATGCTTTCATTCAATCAGGACCATATTCTTATCTTAAGTGCCTTATCTGATGAAAATTGGCTAGTTCGCTTATAGAATCGATGATCAACTGTTGAATTATTCTTCATCAAAATTACAGGTTTTCTAGGTGGTCACCAAAAATAATATGCATCTAAGCCTCTAAAAAACCAACATTTCCTGCTTAAACGACGAGGCTGAAGATAAAGCTCGTGCTATTACTTTTTGCCAATTGCTCTGGTTTTGCTATGTGCTTGGTGTTCTTTGCTTTAACTTTAGGTTTATTTGGTATGATACTCAAATTTATCCTTACGGCTGCCTATCCTATTCTCTTTGCTCACATCAAAAAATACAATAAGGTAGGCTTACATTTTGTGAAGTGGTGATCAATATCACATAGATGGTAAGTTCATTCTCAATTCCTCATCAATTAGCAAATCAACCAATAGCTTTTCACACTCGAGGCTTATATTCTCTCCTCATCAATTTGCTATATAATAAAAAGGAAAAAGAGACAGTCATACTTCAGGGAAGATCATACACCACAGTAACCATTGCATACGGTGCACACCAACTCAACCGCCACAACCACAAACACACCATAACAACACTGCACCAAGACAATCCCAGAACCACCATGCCGACACCAATGCAACCAACCTTCTAGCACCAACTACATTTCTGCTACTACTCTGTTTCTGGCAGCATCAAACATGCATATAAATTTTAGTCATTTTCTTTCATCCACATATAGCAATCTACCCATCATGCTTTTCATTGTAGCTAATGACAAAAGGCCAAAATAGAAAATTTTCCTGAAAACACTACCCAATGGAGAACGTTGTTCAGAAGAAAACTCACTTATAGGCCTTATAGCACATATTAGAAAAACCATCCTTCCCACTGCAAAAGCATTATGCACAAGAAAACAGCCTCCATCTCACACATCAGCAATCTTCCTATGCATATGCTTTTGTGTAACAACCAACAAGCAGCCCATCCAATACAAGGTCATCCGTCAACACATACCCATACCCAACCCTGAACCCCAAGGATCATCAAACCTTCCTAACGACCCCCACCCAATTATCTTGGACAGAATAATATGGTGCCTCCAAAACTAGATGAGTGTGTAGAATCTTTGTAGTATGGCATTTGTACAGAGCACTAGAGCAATCATGTCACTGATGCTCACAATAAGGAGATATTTAGAGAGCAGAAAATGGAATGATATGCTAGATTTGCCCAGAAGATAAGTCACAACTGGCTCAACTCATCAATAGTAGTTTCGCATGCTTCAGCCCCATTGCACATTCATGTCATAACTAAAATTCAAATTTTAAGATCACGCAAACAGTTAACCTTCCACATTAGAAGACTCAACATCTGATTTTAGCATGGCAAAATTGCCAGAAGAGAAGGAATGATACAGAATGACAATGAAAAAAATGTTAGTCATGAAAGATGGACGATGGAGAATATGACTGTCTAGCAAAATTTGCTTAACTGGATTGTAACAAAACAAAGAGAGTGGTTAGGTCCTCTGATCAGGTGCTGCAATGGATATTTTGACTGCTCAAGTATTAAAATTGATAAGATGTAGAGATGGATCAAAATAGATGTTTAAGTAGGATATTAATTCAGTTGTGATATGATGTCTATAAGTGGAAAAGGATCTCACCTATTGTGATTAGAAAAATCCTTTTCAATGGCTGTACTTTAACCATGTGCATCTCTGACTAATACACTCAAATGATAAAGTTATACATCTTTTGGGCCACATTCACTTAAGTTCTTTTTATGTAAACATTATGTGGATTTCATGACTTCATTGCTAATAGGAGCACAGTGCTATTTTCAATTCTAAACACAACAAAAAGGCAGACAATCTGAATGGTAGACACTGCAAGAGCTCAAGAATTTGCCTTAGTTTCCATTCATAAATGCCTGTTGGCAAGCACTACATGCCATACCAAACAAACAGATCTAATAACACACTAACTCAAGAAACCCTCAAGTTTGTGAGTGGTGAAAGCCCAGCTATGTGCTGGGTGCCCATCAGAAATATTTCAGGGAAGCTGCCAGGGGTTGTGTCTATCGTTGATACAGCAAGAATCCAGATCTTTAAATTACATAATGAGGTAAAAGGCAGAATAGGTATAGCAAACGGTAATCTATGATGCCACAGCTATAAAGTTATATATCTTGGGCTAAGTAATAATACCTTGGGGTCAAATATAACTGATGATTTTGAGTTCTTTTGTTGCCCCTTAAAGTTGGAATAAGTTGGACATGTTGTGCAGTACGGATCATTGCACATTCCCAATTGACCAGATTTCAAAAGATGTTCATTTTTCCCAGCATAGCTGTTATCTGGCCAATCTTTTGGACCCACTCCATTAGATGAAGGATATTTATCTACTGTGGGCCGAGTCATTTGGATTGCACCTTGGTTAGGCCGGAAGAGATTCTCATGCTTACGGCCATATAAAGGACCACTCATCTGTATGAATGGTGTTTTTCGTTCATTTCGCAAGGGACCAGTATGACCTACAAGGTTATTTTCATTTTCGTAGGACTCCATAGAGTTCATAGGGATGGTTAGTGAAGCACTCCGCATCCTGGATGCAAACCTCCGAAGTTGAGAGTCTTCATCTTCATCCACTTGTGAATATGTTGCTGATAGCATCGGTACTTCATCTTTCTCAAAAGTAGCCATTTCACCTGAAAAGAGGATAAAATAAACAATCCACCAGCATCAATGCAAGTTCGAGTAATAGGTTATGCAATCGTCCAAATTCAACATCATGGGAAAATTAAGTATATGTAAACCACAACTTTGCAAGCAGAGAAAAAAATAATGAAGCAGAGAACGTACTATTAATTAAAGATATTGTGGTCATAACAGATAGCAGGCATGTTTTTACCGTTCAACATACAATGTGTCATGTTAAGGATTGTGCAGTTCTGTATTTCGACAACACCATTTTGTTGAGGTGAATATGGTGTGATCAAAAGAAATGGCATAATTTGGCTACATATATTCATAGCATGACAAACATGAGGATTAAGGATTGAAGGATGATATTGAAATCTTACTCGAGAAAGAGAGACGGAAAAAAAGTGCAATTTATAATGAAAGTTTATAGCAACATGTTCCAAGAGGGAAAACCCGATGTGGATCTGCCCACACAATTATACACATGGAGCCATAGACACTTTATCTCGAGGGGATGAATACATTTTTCAATTTTAAACTAATTGATTACCAATAAAACCTAAATAACCACAATTACCTCTTTCCACAAAGATATAGCAATTAATGTGAGAATTCCTTCAATCATCAAAACCTATTTCACACATGACGATTGATGTTTATTAATCGTCAATTAATTCATTCACAATCAATCTCACGTCGATTCCAAATCCCAAATCCAAATTGCACAACTATGTATGGACTGATAGTCAAATAATCATTCTAAAAAAAACATAGTGCGCATGTGTCCTGAGAATCACAAAAGTATACGATGAACAATAAATAACAAAAGTGATTTGTTGACACGTAAAACCCTTTTGGGGAAAACCCGCAAACCTAATCCACTACTCATTAAGTCAACATACAAGTAAACGAGTCTTATACCTCAACCAATATCATGGCTAGATGCTCCTTTCCTTATTGTCTTTCCACCAAGGCCCACCTTAAATGTTTTTGTTGTGATCAAGGNCGAACAATAAATAACAAAAGTGATTTGTTGACACGTAAAACCCTTTTGGGGAAAACCCGCAAACCTAATCCACTAATCATTAAGTCAACATACAAGTAAACGAGTCTTATACCTCAACCAATATCATGGCTAGATGCTCCTTTCCTTATTGTCTTTCCACCAAGGCCCACCTTAAATGTTTTTGTTGTGATCAAGGAAGAAAATAATCTTTTACTTCCTTTCGTGATTTATTGAAATCTGATGGTACTGTATATCCATCGTCTTGTACTGACACACCTTAACAGAATGGTTTTGCCAAGCACAAATATTGTCACATTGTGGAGACACCCATTCTCTCTTGTTATTAGCATATTTTCCCAGTTCTTTTTGGGGGGGATGGATTTCTTACAGCGGTTTATTTGATTTCTTGTATTCCCACTCTTCTCAACTCTAGCATCTCACCATTTGAAAANATCTTGTACTGACACACCTTAACAGAATGGTTTTGCCAAGCACAAATATTGTCACATTGTGGAGACACCCATTCTCTCTTATTATTAGCATATTTTCCCAGTTCTTTTTGGGGGGGATGGATTTCTTACAACGGTTTATTTGATTTCTTGTATTCCCACTCTTCTCAACTCTAGCATCTCACCATTTGAAAAACTGTGTGGTAAATCTCCTAATTATTTCTCCTTACATGTGTTTGTTCTACTCTCTAATGTTCTTCACACCAATCCCTCTACTCGCTCAACTTTGTGTTTTTCAGTGAGGACCAAAAAAGATATCATTGCTATGATCCTATTACACACAAACTCTATGTGTCCCGCCATCTTCTTTTTATGGAACACATTCCATTTTTCTCTATTCCATCTATTTATTCTTCTATGCATAAATCATATCTTATTTATATTGATCCATTTTTAGCTAAAGTTACTCATGATGCATATATCGGTGATATGATTGTGTCTGATCTACTTTTCTCCTCTTCTTCCACTAACTTGTCTATGTCACGTCCCCCTATTATGCACACTTATGCTCGCAGGACTCCCGTTGTCTCCTCTACAGTGCTTCTGTCTTCCTCTCTTGCCACTCAATTAGGTTCGAACATTGTGAATCATGCTTCTCCCTATCCTCAACACTCTCAAAAATGTCTAGATAGGTTTGATTTTTCTAACTCATGTTACTCTTCTAACTTTTGTTCCTTCCTAACCTCTATTCACTCTCTATCTGAACTTACATCCTATAAGGAGACTATATTTAATCCTCTTTGTTAATCGGGTATGGATGAGAAGTTTTCTGCATTACATACAACTCAAGCCCGGTAGTTAGTGTCTCTACCTCCTAGTAAACGCATCATTGGTTGCAAGTGGACTTATAAAATCAAAACTAAATCAANGTATGGATGAGAAGTTTTCTGCATTACATACAACTCAAGCCCGGTAGTTAGTGTCTCTATCTCCTAGTAAACGCATCATTGGTTGCAAGTGGACTTATAAAATCAAAACTAAATCAAATAGTTCTATGGAAAGGTACAAAGCTCAATTAGTGACAAAGGAATTTGCTCAAGATTATGGCCTGGACTATGATGATACTTTTTCTCTTGTTACAAAGATGACCACTATTGGCAACGTGATTGCAATAGTTGTTATTCGTCAATGGAGCTTGTCTCAGATGGATATTAAAAANGGACTATGATGATACTTTTTCTCTTGTTACAAAGATGACCACTATTGGCACCGTGATTGCAATAGTTGTTATTCGTCAATGGAGCTTGTCTCAGATGGATATTAAAAATGATTTTCTTCATAGAGAGATTTGTCTAAAGAAGTTTTCATGTCTCCTCCTCTTAGATTGTCTCATAGTCCAAGACTTGTAGGCAAACTTTGCAAAGCTTTATATGACCTTATCACTACCCACTTGAAAGCCCTCGACTAGATTAAAATCCTTCTCTCTATCTACTAAACAACTAAGCCCATCAAATTCTAAAGAAAATAGGATTGGGGAAAGTGAATCCTCTTGCCTCAAACCCATAGGTGAATTAAATCTCCCCCTTGGTCTACCATTCAACAGCACAAAAGAATAAGCATCCCATAATCCACTTCCTCCATCAACATCCAAACCTTTTCATTATTAAAACAAAGTCCACAGAATCCCAATCTACATAATCATTTGTTTTTTTTTTGAAACAAACTTTAAAGGAGCCAGGTTCAAATGCTCTAATTGATGAGGTGGGTACTGCATGCAATACACTACTCAACTACTTGAAGACAAAGTAACAAAAAATCTGCCGGACTTGGTTGGATGTACATATAATGCCATGAGGTTACGGACCAGCTAACTTTGTTGACTATTATACACAAATTTTATTGAACATCTAAACAAGTGCACTCTTCCCCAACTAGTCCAGGCACACCAATAAAGATGGGTGACATCATCAACTTGGACATCCACAACATAAGATAGTAGATTTCTTGGGCCGTAGAAACTTATTTGTTTTGAATCTAACAATAGGATTTGCTCTTTTGTGATAGTTGTTAGCTTAGAAAATCATGTAGACTTCCCATCATCCAAACTGATAATGAATTCAATCAACAGTTTGTGCAAGAATATTGTTTTGCAACTACCTCACGTTCATTCTCGTAAAAATTACGAGAATCACGTAATCCATATTGATCAAAATGAAAGTTTCAATTGATTCTATCCTATGCTCAATAAATCAAAATTCTATGATTGTTTGGTTAATTTTCATAATTTAATCACGTGTTAATATGATGCTAGGATGATAACTCTTTAAACTGATGAAGGGGAGAATTTGCTAACACTACATTTGAGGAACTTCTGACTCATTTGGTGTACATCACCGATCATGACGTCCCGAAACCCCAAAGAGGAACAAGATTCGCGAACATAAACATTAAAACATCACAAACTGGGATAAACAATTCATGCTAAATTTCCCTCATGTATTTGGCTTGGTAAGTTTTCTACTATAGGCTTTCTAATAAATCGTCTCCTTTCACTGCAAATTGCCATGGATTCTTTGATCTTTCTCCTTCATGGAAGAAATACACACTACTTCTCTCTCTACATTTTTGGGTGCATTTGTTCTCCATAATTATGTGATCATCTCAGCTCAAAGTTGATCTGAAATGCCTCTCATGTCTTTCTTAGCTATAGTATCAAGTATAAAGGATACAACCGGTTATATTCTCCAACTGAACAAATTTACATTTCTCCTCATGTTGTTTTTGTTGAGAATTTTGTTCCCTTTGATAAGCCAACTTCTCTTTATGGTTCTCATCCGATTAAAGGTGAACTTACAACTTTTCATGACTAGTTGGCTGCTACTACCGACCATGATGCCAACCTATCATTTAAACTTGTACGCCCCTCAAAAGATCCAAATTATTTGACAATGCTGACCTCGGTTGTGCCATTTTGTGCCGCATTGATCGGACACCATTGATGGCACCTTCGTGCATGAGCATGAGCCCCACAATGCACGTGAATATACTATAACTCACCTCTCTAAGTCCACCTTCTCACCTCTTTACAGATATTGTAAAAACAATTATATATGTTAAGCATAGATTTATAATTGGAACAACTCAACAAATATTAGAATTATGATGTGAGCAATATAATCATGAGTGTTGTAATCTAAAATTCGAAATAAAGCATGTAAACAATAGTTAGATCATATAACATACATTTTAAATAAATAAATACAGAAAATATATAAACATGCAATCTATATAAACTAAATAAATTAATTTGGAATGAGCTGGCCTACGAATCCAAGAGGCGTGTGATCACTGTCCTAAAGCAGCTGAGCCTCCCCACGTGAAGGTACTGACGGACACCAGTGACTCCAAGATCCAACTCAGACGCTCGCAGCAGCACTTTCTCAATGGTCACGTCCACTTGAAGTGAACTTGACTCGAATCGAATTACCCCAAAAATAAAGTAATAGAAGATAATTGAAAAGTATGTCAAGTATGAAAAGAAAAGCTATTGGA